CCGGCTCCTGAATACAATGGACAATATTCAGCTGAGCTATTCAGCCAGAAGGCTGCGAGCGTCATCGAGAATCACGAGAATCATGAGAAGGTGACACATACTGTCGCACAGAACACACAGCAGGCTCGGGTGTACTGGTCACTGGAGTGGTTTTATACCGCAGTCTGGCAATTAAGGGCAAAGTAAAAAGAACAGGATGGTCTCCATGTTTGAAGATTGACCACTGACCATACTATTAGAGGAATAATAGAGGAAAACAAGGCTCCCCTTATCCACCTAGCATTGCCTCCGTTTACAGCCTGTTCACATTTCTATTATAACAAGTTCAACGGATTAAAATGTAATCATGTGAAATGACTGTGTCTGGCTGTGCTTGTACAATAGCACTGTGTGAATAGGTTGGTGACTACGATGAGTAAATACTTGTTTTAGCCTCCTACTTCATCAATCGTTGTTCTCTCTGTCTTTCAGCCCTTCTTCCTTTATGTGTCACTTCAGTCAGTGCACGAGCCCTTGCAGGTTCCAGATCATTACCTAGAACCTTACGGATTCATCGAAGACCCGGACCGTAAAATGTATGCCGGCATGGTGTCAGCCATGGATGAGGCCGTGGCCAACATCACCGCGGCTTTACAGCGGACAGGACATTGGGAAAACACAGTTCTTGTGTTCTCAACAGGTATATTTGTTCTTTTTTTTAAAACAAGAACTCTGCTTGAGCACTAACTTGGATTATGACATTGTAATCCAAGTTAATTAGATTTCTTTTGTATAACAGTAAGAGTTATGAGTCACTGCCTCTGCACCTCATTTATTAGACCTGTATAGAATAGAATAGTCTTTATTGTCATTGTAACAACAGAATTGAGGCGTAGGAGGAAAAAGGATAAAAGACAAAAACCACAAAAAGGTGCAAAGTAGTGCGGAGCCTTGAGCCGTCGCGCTCGTGTGCGCCGGCATCTTGGATCCCGTATGTTTACCTGTTCACTTTTCTTATGAAGCTGAAGGATAGAGTGACTTGTCAGTTGTGTCAGTGGGTGTGTCAGTAGGTGTGTCAGTGGGTGTGTCAGTGGGTGTATGTTCTGCATCCGCTGGGTTCATGTTGCCTTGATTCTGATAATATGTTCTTCAAGTGTCTTCTTTTCAGACAAATCTTGACATGTATCGATGGTTGAATTCCCATCTTAATCATAAATGTCACTTGATGTCACTGAGTCACTGTCAGCCTCCAGCTGGTCTAAACCAGACATGGAAAAAGTTGTTCATGCATTTATTCTCAGTAGTTTGGCTTATTGTAATTGTGTCTTTACAGATCTCAGTAAAACAAAACGGAACAATCATTCTGAATGCTGCTGCCAATTTCTGACTGACAGCAGGAAAATAGACCATAATACACCTGAGTTTTATTAGAGAATTTTAATGATTTTTGTTTTGTTTTTTGTTTTCATTTTATTTCAATTGAACTGTTTAAATGACAATAATTTCCTGTCTTTGGGAAGCACTGATTTGCTCTGTGTGTGAATGGTGCTGTACAAAAAAAGCAACATAAAGAAACGACAAGACGCCACATTGAAAGTAAAATCAAAACACTCATTTATGCTGTTTACTAAAGGTTTTTTCCGAGACTTCTTCTCCGAACGATCCAGCAGAGGGCGAAAAGGCGCATGGTTCGTCAGAAACAACAAACAGCACTTGACGTCAGAGAATAAGTGGCAGCGTAGATGCATGGGACAGTAACTCCGTGTAATTATGGAATTAAAATAAATGTAATAAACAGGAGTAGTTTATCAGCTTCTGGTAACTGACCAATGACAGAGTGGTCAGAAAGTTTGTGTTTGAAGTGATTAGGTCAGACATTTGCAATGCTGGGAAAGGTATTCCACGTGGAGGCCACACTTCCTGTGGCTACGGGCTTTTGTGCAAAGAGGACTGGGGCTGGGTGGAATGTCTTTACAGATATGTGAAAAATTATGTGAAAATTCCCAAGTGACGGGAGCTAAGAGTCCACAGCCAGAAACAGGTGCATGTGTTATACAGAATGTGTGGCTCAATCGTTTAATCAACTCATTCAGAATCTCCCTGTGTGACTTGAGTCACGACGTTGTTGTCCCTTTGTTGTTGACTGGCAGATAATGGAGGTCAGACATTGTGTGGTGGCAGCAACTGGCCACTGCGTGGTAGAAAGGGAACACTATGGGAAGGTGGAGTCAGAGGAGTTGGATTTGTCGCTGGGCCACTACTGAAACAAAGTGGAACTGTCAACTACGAACTGATCCACATCTCTGATTGGCTGCCTACATTTGTTGCCCTGGCTGGAGGGAGCACTAACACTTCAAAACCCCTGGATGGATTCAACGTGTGGCCCACTATCAGGTGAACTGGGACTTCTCACAGTCAGGTCTCAGTAGTTTTACATATATGTAAATATGTATGTTGTTGTGTAGTACTATCTCACAGTGCTAATATGTTACAGTTATGGAGTTGCATCACCCAGACTGGAGCTACTACACAACATTGATCCTCTCTATACTAATGGCAGGCTGTGTAAGTGTTTAACTAAATAATTAAGTGTTTCTTTTTTGATCCATCTGAGTAGACTTCTTCTACATCTGAAAGGGATTTAAACTACTCCTCCTTCCTCATTTCACTTGTTCTTCTTCTCTTCCTCTTCTTCTTCATTTATTTAATGTTATTGGTCTCCTTGATCCTCTCTGTCCTGTTCCTTCTCAGGTCCTAAAAGGAGGAACCTAACATTGGCCAGTGGAGACTCTTGGAGCAGCTTTGGTTTCAACGTGTCCATTCATGCTGCCATTCGATCCTCCAACTGGAAGCTGCTGACTGGAGACCCAGGTCAGTATCTTCACGTGAACGATGTGTTAAGTCTAAGATGGAAGTATAAAATAAGGAATAAACAAGGACTTTGGCATTGTTGTAGAAATGATGTGTTTCCTGTGATATAATGACATATGCAGGATGTAATACGTAGAATCAATATTAAATAAGGACTTTGGCATTGTTGTAGAAATGATTTACCCCTTCTGACCCTTGTCAGGATTTTCCTCTACAGTTCCTCATGTTCTTATCCTTTTTTGTCCAGGTTGTGACCAGTGGTTTCCACGGCCTGGTGACAACACCTCTGATTCTAGTCAGCCTACAGAGAACCCACAGAAGCCTGTGCAGCTCTTCGACATAATAAATGACCCAGAGGAGAGGATTGATCTCTCAGATGAGTTTCCTGAGGTGGTGAATCATCTCCTCAGTAGGCTCAACCAGTACCAGAAAACTGCCGTGCCAGTAAACTTCCCCCCTAATGACCCAAGGTGTGACCCAGGTGCTACAGGAGTCTGGGGACCGTGGGCTTAAGTGGAGATGGTAGTGGTGAATCTGTATGAGAGAAATTTCACCATCTTTAATTGGATAACACATGTATTTTACTGTTTTAAGTGCCTTCTTGTGGTCAGGGTTTAAGGGTAATTCAATAATCCAATACCTGAACACTGTAAATGACAATGCAGGTTTTAATAAAGAATATTGTATGTGTTTTATACCCTTATAAAATGCAGACGTTTGGGTGGAGTTTAAGTTTAAAGTAATCCTGTGGTGGAGAATAACAGGAAAAGCCAAGCACTGACAAGAAGAAGCTGTTGCTATATTTGGACATGTTCAACAGGTCAAACTGACACCAGAATAACAGGAAGACTGGAGACAGGAGATAAGAACAGGTAAAGATGACCTGGGTAAATAAACATGTTTATCTGGTGACTAGCTGAATGTGAGCCAAATATTAGGCAACATCCTCATGTTGGTGTCTGAAAGGTGTCTGACCATGTTTGGTCAGACTAACAGCCAAATGTGACGTCCTGCTCTGCCTCTTTTGTAGACATCTCTTTCTATAATACAATTGGTGACCCTAACGTGATCGCTTGGGCCTGAACACCCTGTTTTGTCTATGCCTATAAGAAGGATCAGCATGTATCAGAAGTTGGGATTTGTTGGTGAATGTTCAGATGAGATTCATTGTTGGCCCTGCCATGGTCAGAAACCTTTAATACAATAAATCCCCAGAGATGGAGAAGTGCGTCCTGGTCTGCCTCTTTTGTAGCCATCTCTTTCTATAATACAATGGGTGACCCTAACGTGATCGCGTGGGCCTGCGGACCGGGGCGGCGGGGCTCCTCCACTGGACCTGCTGTGTACCAGGTAGGAACTTTTCCTCCTATTAATGCACATGCTTGTCCATTGCTGGCATCCAGCCTCATCTGGTAAGCACTGAGGTCCTTGCCAAAATTGAACAAAAGATAATGACTCCTTCTTTTTCTAAAGATGTGCTGGAAAATAAGCCTGCACCTTATTTTGGCCAGTTGTAGCAGCTCTGACACAAGTCGTTCATGAGTAGAGTCATTAGGTTACAGTTGGTTACCATCAAGGTACACTCCCTTCTTTAGGCAACAATGAAAACTGTCACACAACCAGCAGTGTTAAATTAAAGTAGCACCTGAAGCTTCTCTGTCAAATAAAGACGGGTCAGTCAGGCCTTTCCACATTCTTGTTACGTCCTCACCAATAGGGAAACGTGACATTGTTCTTACTGTTGGTGCAACCACAGTACGGAAACATAAACTAATGTAGTTACATATATGGCAAGAGCAGTGATCTCAAATAACAAATGTGGTGTAGTTTGGTGATCATTTGGCAAATCTGAAACATAAAAACAGCCTCACTCCAAAAATGACAGTAAGAAAAAACATTTGTAGTTTATGTCAGACAGTAATGCATGCCTAAACTATGTAATGAAAATATACTAATCTAATTCTGGCAAAATTGTATTTTATAATCCCACTGTCAAAATAATTCCACAGTTTTTCAGTAGTAGTGTTCCTGGTTAAGTGAGCTCACTTTTTATTCTTGAAAGCAAAAGACAATAAAAAAAGATACAAAGTTTTAACAGCAAATTGAATATTAACTGTGAGTGGATTCAGGTTCATTATTACACTACCTCATTACATAGTTACAATTTACATTAGTTATATTACCACAAATCTGTATACATTACTTCATTAAATGGACATTATTCTGACGTCATACTGCGGCCAATACTTGTATGTATATTGTTGTATGCCTCTCACCCTGCGGTGGTTAAAGAAGTGAACATGACGCGGACTTGTAGCAGAAAGTCCCAGGTGGTCATCTCCTTCAGCCAAATGAAGGCCGGTGACTGCCCATGACTGTGATACTCAGCTCCAGTTACTTGTATCTTTGCAACATGGTGAAGTCCAGGGAATGGTCAAAGAAGTAAAGAGAGGAGGTAACTTCTCTTCCTAAAAAAGAATATGGATATACAAAGATTCCAAAGACACAATTGGAAGCATTATTCCCATGTTTAAAAGCTAAAGGCACAGTGGAAATGCTACCTGGGCGTGGCAGAAAGAGGATGCTGATGGCGACTGCTGTCCGGTACCTGAAGCAAAGAGTGGAGAAAAATCCCCGTGTGATGGTGGTACTCAGGTTTCAGCTCAGACTGTAAGATGCACGCTGTGAGACGAAGGCCTCCATGATGCCAACTCCTGCTGACTCCAAAGAACAAGAAGAGTCGACTCCAGTATATGAAAAACTACGTGTACAAACCACAAAGGTTGTGGAATACTGGACTGAAACAAAGTTGGAACTCTTTGGGCCTGTGAATCAGTGGTATGTCTGGAGGAGGAAGAACAAGGCCTATGGTGAAAAGCACACCTTGCCTACTGTGAAGCATAGTGGGGGGTCAGTCATGCTTTAGGACTGTTTTCCTTCTTCAGGGTTAGGGTTACCAAGGTACCATTAATTCTATTAACCAATCACCACTCTCTCTCCCCTGGGGATGCTCTCTATCATCCAATCCAGCTCCTTCCAGAACTTCTCCTTTTCTTCCAACTCACAGCCCACCTGTGGGGCATGACTGCTGACAACATTCATCAGCATATTCTATTTCTACTTTCACACACATCAACCTGTCTGACTCTCGTTTCACCTCCACCTCATCTCTTACATATTCTTCCTTTAGGATCACCCCCTACTCCATTTCCCTTTTTTCCATCTGAACCATGATAAAGCAGTTTGTAGCCTCCTCCAATGTTTCTAGCCTTGCTGCCCTCCCACCTGGTCTCCTGCACAAACTAAATGTCTACTCTTCTTCTCTCCATCATATCAGCTAGTTCTCTACTTTTCCCTGTGATTGTACCTACAGTCGGAGTTCCACTTTAGACCGACCCTTCTATCCTTCCTTTTTTCCTCTTTTTCTCCAAACCAATCGTCCTCTTCTTCTTTGTCTTCGACCAACAGTAACCCAGTTTCCACCAGTAGGCCACTGTTGGCGGTCGTTGTTGATCTGGGCCCCGACCGATCTGGTATAGAAATAATAGTGTTAAGTCTAAGATGGAAGTATAAAATAACACACGTGTTTCCTGCGAAATATTCACATATGCCGGATGTAATACGTAGAATCGATTTTTTGAAATTTTGAATTTTTTTCTTATTCTTACAAAACCCGATGTGCTAAATGAAATACACGACTGAACTTTGTTCTCAGGAAAGTGAACGCCCTGTCACTGTGTCATACGTCACTGCACACAACGAAACGTGACCTCTGCATTTAACCCATCACCAAAGTGAACAGTGGGCAGCTTTTCAAGTCCGCTTCCTTAACCACTAAGCCACCACTGCCGGAAAAGGGAGTATCTTGCTAAATTATCTGAAGCACCATCCTGCAGACTGCTATAGGTTGCCGGCTGGAACTGCCCTGACAGCATATAAGCAAGCAAAGCGGGAAGGGGGTCGTTCTTCCTCTCCGGATTGTCTCTGAAGGTGGTAAGAAACCAGAGCTCTGTTTGCCCCATTTTACTTCAATAAAGCTTTTATTTTTGAGCTACCATCTCATCCTTCATCATCAACGAATTCGGGGGAACGCACGGGAGAAGTATCGTCCCAACAGTAATCCTAATCATGATAAAAAAAATGTGCTGCACCTTATTTTGGCCAGCTGTAACAGCTCTGACACAGGCCGTTCACGAGAAGAGTAATTAGGTTACAGTTGAAAGGCGGTTCACGAGAAGAGTAATTAGGTTACAGTTGATTACCATCAAGGTACACTCCCTTCTTCGGAAAACAAAGAAAATGCTGCGCAGCCTGTAATCTTAAAATAAAGTAAGATAGAAGTCCAGAACGCGGCACCACGTCTAGTCTTAACCAACCCATCATCATCATCATTATCATCATCATCGTCATCGTCATCAGCAGCAGATGCCACCCTCATTACAGGAGTGTCTTGCCACCTTCTCACACAAGGCGATCTTAGTCATTCTCCACCCTGGTTCCCGCGTGGTGGAACAAACTACCAGCTGCCACAAGAACAGGCTTCTCCCTCTCTTTTGTTTCAGGAAGCACTTAAAAACTTTTCTTTTCATCGAATGAGATGTCGTTGTTTGGCAGCCCGCAGTAGAAAACATGCACTTTTAAGCTTTTAATCCACAGCAGGTTTTCTCTTTCTATTTTAAACAAAATGCACAGCCATCTGAGGCCACATCAGGTTGAAACAAGCCAAACAAACAAATCAAGGTCGGTCTTTCATGCTGTGATCTGGCATTCATAAAGTATTATTTTAAATAATCAAAATTGATGTTAATAGACAGTGACAATAGTCAGTTTACCTCATCAACGTCTGCAACAAAAGAAAAAAATATTGGACGCGGGCATAAGTAACAACCAGTCTGGTCTGTTGGGCTGGTCTTCGGATTGGCAGTCGAGCAGGGAGGGGACGTCCGTTTGTAGAGAGTCATCGTATACAATGTTATTCATGCTCAAAACAGTCAGATGCTCTTCCTCTTCAGCGTTATTGAACCTCAGCCCTGTCAACATTACAACTTCAGACCAACAAGTATCTTTTAAACTTTTTTTTTTAAACTTTTTTTTTTTGACTTAATACTAGTGGTTCCTGATACATATTTTTTAATTGAAGCCACCTTAGTAACAATGTCCTCCGAATGGCTCCGGTGTGTTGTTGTGTTTCTCGTCTCTGTCCCTCTGGTTAAAGCTGCTCAGCAGCCAAACATCGTCTTTATCTTGGCTGATGACTACGGCTGGCACGATATTGGATACTACGGCTCAGAGATCCACACTCCTCACCTGGACAAGTTGTCAGCCAGCGGGGTTCGTCTGGAGAGATACTACATCCAACCAATCTGCACCCCCTCCAGGAACCAGCTCATGACCGGCAGGTACCAGGTGAGATCCAGTTGCCCTTGATGTAACTATTTTTGGATGAAGTGACCAGGTGAGAAGGCGATATAACCAAGTTATGGCAATATTAATCCTAGACTGTAAAGAAGCAGATAAGATATAATCATATGGACTGTTTTGTTTTCTCTGTAATGTTTCATCTCACATCCAATAGGTTTCTTCAACTAGTTTCATACAGTATGGACTAACTGGAATATAATATTGACTTGGGTTACTGAGAACATACACAGAGAGTTAAGGCCATATGTGAGACACTTATTACATAAACAAAAGAGCAGGACATAAATAAGTACGTAAAACTAGAAGACACTGAAGTCAAACCCGTTAAAAGATGTATTTTTAGAAACAATATTGGAAAACCTGAGTGATGTTTTATTACATTGCTTTCTGTGAAACTATTGTATTTTGTGAGCTATTTTTATTATTCAATGTGATGGATGCTTGTTGTCTTCGTCAGATCCACACAGGTTTGCAGCACGCCATAATAATACCTTGTCAGCCAGATTGCATTCCTCTGGATGAAAAGCTCTTACCTCAGTACCTGAAGGAAGCAGGGTACAGTACTCACATGGTGGGGAAGTGGCACCTGGGCATGTACCAGACAGGCTGTCTGCCCACCCACCGGGGATTTGATACATTCTTTGGTTTGTACCTAGTTTATTATTTCAAGGCTGACTCTTACAGTTTGTGTGTCACAAGAAATACGAGAGCAAAGATTTTTCTCATCCTCTGAATACACTGGTAAACTATTTAATGATATCTACAGAAACATCAACATATTTAGTTGAGGTGAGCACAGTCACTCAACATGCTGACTAATATTAGCTTCATCTTGGAAATGTAATCTCCCTTTAATTGTGTTAAAACATTCATGTCGTACATTACTGTTCATTGTACTGCGTTAACTGTTAAATGAATACCATCGATTTGGCCTTGCAGGATTCCTGTCAGGTTCTGAAGATCACTACACACATTCACA